GGGTTTGAACCACCAGCCGTCTGGTTAGCAGGCAAGTGTCTTAGCCACTATGCTACCAGAGCTCCCATAGTGATACTGCCTCGGAAACCAAAGGAGGGGTCGCTGTGAGTCGGGTCTGACTCAATGGCACATAACAACAACAACAACAATGGGATTGCTTCATCAAATGGTATTCGTGATTCCAACTTTTTAAGGAATCACCATAGTTGAGCAGAGGTTTTTAAAAGCTAGATGGAAGCTTCCCATAGGTAATAAGCTTCTCAAAGTCTGTGACTCTGTCCAAGTCTTTTGAATCTCCCTATACTATCACCAAGGAGCTCTGGTAGCATAGTGGCTAAGGCACTTGACTGGTAACCAGAAGGCTGGCGGTTCAAATCCACCAGCCACTCCTCGGAAGGAAGATGGGGCAATCTACTTCCTTAGTGATACTGCCTCGGAAACCCAAGTAGGGGTCGCTATGAGTCGGGTCCGACTCGACGGCACATAACAACAACATACTATCACCAAATGAGCCCTGGTGGTGCAGTGATTAAGAGTTTACCTAACTGAAGATTGGCAGTTCAAACCCATCAGCTGCTGTGTGGGAGAAAGTTATGGCTGTTTCCTTCTGTAAAGATTACAGTATTGGAACCCTACACAGGGCAGTTAAGCTCTGTCCTTTAGGAGTGCTTTGAATAAGAATCAACTTGATTTCAATGGGTATACCATTACCAACACTACCACCAACTAGGGCTTTGAATCGGTTCAAACCAGTTCAGTCATGGCCAATGAGGCAAAATTGAAACAGACTTGAATTTTTAAAATTTGGGTAAAGTGGAATGATAGCCAACCAAAAAACCCAAACCCACTGCCACTGCCATTGTGTAAATTCTGACTAATATGGACCCTATAGCACAGAGCAGAACTGTTCCATAGGATTTCCAAGGCTGTAAATCTTTACTGAAACAGACTGCTTCATCTTCTGTGAAGTGGCTGATGGGTTCAAACCACTAACCTTTTGGTTAGCAGTTGAATGCTTTGATCACTGCACCACCAGAGCTCCACAGAACAAGAACAGGAATGGGAAAAATTATGGGTCAAAGGCCTGGAATGAGAGACTCAGAAGAGATATAGTAAGCCCTTTCAGGAGCCTGATGTGGGAGACTGGATTATTGGCAGGGCTGTGGACAGCAACACACATTCAAAGCAGCATGGTTGGTTGTCATCTTTGAGCAGGGTACCATTATTTCCAATTCTACCAATCAAGAGATTTGGTTGCTTTGCAACATGCACACTGCCCTTGTTTTTATTTTTTTTATTGTGCTTTGGGTGCAAATTTACAGAACAGAATTTGTTTTACATTCAACAGTTCATGTACATTTGGTTTCACTCCCCGATTACCATTTCCAACCCTAACCCACTCTTCTCCCCTCCCTTCCCCATTCCCATGCCCTTCTTAACTATGCACTCCTGTCTGTCCAGCTTTCCCTCTATGTGAATGCTGGCTCTCTGGTGCCTCGTGGCTGATTGCTTCAAAGGGTGTATCTCTGTAGAGTAGGTAGGTGCCTCACTCTGGGTTAGTGTTCTGCATGTAAGTCTTTCTAGTGTTGGGCTGAGAGCCAGTCCTTGAGAGTGAGTCCTATGCCAGGCCCGAAATGTATCCCAGGGCCATAGCTTGGGGGACCCACCAGACTCAATCCAACCAGCAATTCTGGTCATTATTGTGTTTTTGAATTTTGTTCCACATTTTTCCTCCCAGTCTGTCCAGGATCTCCAGTTTTGATCAGTTCCCAAGTTGTTGGCATTCATTGCCAGGCACCATCTAGTTCTTCTGGTCTCGAGGGCCATCATAACCTTGGACTAATTGTTTCTAAGTGTCCTTGATTTTCTTCACTCTTCTTCACTTCAGATGAGAGGAAATCATTAGCTGCATTTTAGATGGCCACTTGAAAGCTTTTAAGACCCCAGTCACTACTCAGCAGGTTGTGGAACAAGATTTTTATGTATTATGTTGTTCCAGTTGAGCCTGGTGTCCCCCAGTACCATGGTCCTGAATTGGCAGGCCCAGTGGTTCTCTCTTGCAAGGTGTTTTGATTTCTCTAAGGGATTACTCCAACTCTGTTTTCTGTTGCTTCTGTAGTGGTTGTGGTTATTTTTTATCAGTAGTATCTATGCAAGATTATCTTCAGGTAAATCTATCATTGGTCTAGGGTACATTCCTGTTTGCCAACTTCATCTGATCTCAGTTGTCTATGCATGTATCTGTAGCCTGGTGTTTGGTGGTAATGGTAATGCAGTATTGTGAATATACTGATATTACCGTCTATCATCTGTATCTTATGTGCACAATCCAGCGTCCTACCTTTCCCCAATGTTATCATGCTGGTCACAGATGCTTCCCATACCATCCCTACCCCTACCCAACTCAAAATGTGGCCCCCAACTAAGCATGTGGCCCCCAACTATTCTGAAACTTTCTCTCCCCTTTCCTGCCATCCCCAGTAACCTGCAAAGTGAGTTCCCTTCCCTAAGCAAACCCTTCCTCGACTTTTTACAGTAATGGGTTCA